TTATAAAAATTTTATTCAGAATTTTTTTTTGAAAAAAAAATAAAAAAACTTTAAACTACCCCTATTGAAAAACGGCAGGGGGTGAGTAAAAACTTCATAAGGCAAAAATGTTTTATGTGTTGTAGAAATTTTTTTCATGATGGTTAAAAAAAATTATTTTCATTATAAAATTTCAAGCGGCCCTTATGACCACAGACGGCCCTTAATCAAAAAAGTCTTTAGATAAACATTGTAGATCAAATAATGTTGCACATCTTTTATTCGAAACATTGTTTTGTAAAATCAATAGGTACCAAGAAATCGCCAATAGCGCACTTTCAACCCCTATATCGCAAAACGCCAGAGGGGTGAATGTTTGATATCTTCGGTTTTATGATCACCCATCCGCCCCCCATCATCCCTGAAAAATTCATTTGGGTAGGAATTTTGTTTTTGAAAATCGGCAATTTTCCTAGACTAATAGGTATGCGTATCAAATCTGATTCTAGAATCTATGTGCATACCTAGAAGTTTTGCAAATGTTCTATCTTCTTGCAGCTACATTCCCAGCTTTTTGCCGAGCGTGCATTTGAATATCAGTATATTTGTTGTCGAAACATTGAAAATTAGGCAGTTTGCATTGCACCAATCTTCTATCTTGGTCAGAACCCTTGCAATTATTTTATTGTTGTCGCGTCCCTATGTTTCCAAAGTAGGGTTGTGTCTATACATAAGTCACAAAAGAAACTAAAATTGACAAGGCTGCGAGATTCACGAGAATTAGGAAGAGAACAGGACCAAAAACGGACCTTTCAGTAACGCCTTGCCAGATCTACGCCAAATTTGACAATCGCGTTCTGTATTGAATAAAAATAATCAGACCTGTATACTCGACTTGATCGATCCATTCGATCCATTCAGAATCTTTTATGACGAGTCCCTCCACATACCTATTTCATTCCTTAGTAGTTAGGACTACCTGTGTGTTTTCCTCGATAATTAAAATTTTCCAAATATTTTTGTCCAGTATTTGGTCGAGGTTATGTCAATATTTTCTTGTAGGGCTAATGAATTTTATGTGCGACAGTGGCAGCATGAATTTATCATTTTATTATGAGCCCATCATGCTATACGTGTCCAGAAACAGCATCGTGGCGGATGTGCTCTGGTGCAAGAGTGGTCTTTTCGACCAATCTAGCTAGCGGCTGCTCTGTTGAATATTAGGTTGGATGGTTGCTATCAAAACCGCACTGCGCGTAATAAATAAGTTATTTAGCTGAGGAAGTAAAGTTCTCCCTCACTTTCTCCAGAATTAGACCTTCAAGGAGCTTAGAAAGTGATGAGAGTAGGCACATGCCTGATGGGCCTGTAATTTTTTTGGAACAAATGATTTTCGCCTGGTTTTGAATTAACAACTCTGTTGCCATCTTCTAGGCTTGTGGGAAGAACTGATGCTTGAAGCATTCGTTTATGACGGTGAGCAGGGTCATGGGTCACCCTGCTGTTGATTCCACCGAAGTGCCTCTCGATATTTTTATGGTGATCGTTATCATCTTCTGTGTTGGTTTTCAGCATAAGGGACTGGGACTCCAGTCGCCGGTTCAGTACACCACCGTCCTATCGTGGATAGTGGGTATATGCCTTTTTCTGGGAGCGCCAGTTGAGTTTCCAGACGTAGTTTTCTTTTGGATTCAGGCTTGTTAGGAACTTATCCCAAGGTTCGTTTATTATTTGGATTTGACTCTTGGGGCCTAACGTAGGGGCGTAGGGGTTATTATTGTTCATCGTGATGATAATGTAAATTTTTTAAAGGGAATTTGAGACCAAATACAATTATTGCATTTTCGATTCCAATGGTTGTACTGAGAGGAGCAGGAGGTATTTGGTTTGTTTCGTTGCAGCTTTGAATTAAGTGTACTAATGTAACCTGCGAGAGCTGTCGTTTTCGAAAAAAATCACCTGTTTTTAGCCGATTGAGTTCTGATCTGATCTGAGCTCGTTAATATTGCTTATTCCAATCTTCTAAAGACACTTTGTCCTGATGAATATACTCTCCCTGGGGTTCACTCACCAATCCACTACCTGCACGCGATCAATCAATCCTGGAGTCAATTCGAGCTCTGCAGGTTCTTCTCATTATTCAAATCTGATGGCACTCTCTGGGACCTTTCTCAGAAGAGGCAAGGGACGGATGGGCGATAGTGTGGAAACTTTCCTCCTTATTGACCAACATGGCCACTTTCGTATTCTTCCAGCAATGTGAGAATTGATTAAGTCTCAAAATTGGGATGATTATGTTGATTGTTCCTTAAGACCACACCAGTCTTTAGGGACTTTCTTAATCATCCTATTGAAAATGTAGTATGTAGCTAGTGCCTTCCTGGATTTCAGGCTTTTGATGATCTCCTGAATTTCCTGGGGACTGATGTGATTCCTGGTAGGTACTCCTCGGCAGTTTCAGTTCACGTAGCCTGTTGATAGGTTCGTCAATATCGTCGTCATGATTGTCATCTTCATTTGGGGGATCTTTTATAGTCCCGCTCTAGAGTATCTGCGATAGCTTAGCCTATATCTTCATCAGAGTATGAGATTCAATTCAGTCCGTGCAATAGTGGAGTGTGCTCTCTCTTCTCAGATACTTCTGCATTTCCCAAGCGGAGTGGCCAAAACTTCTTCAAGGACGCTCCCCAATTGTGGGCTAAATCAGTTTGCAGCAATTTCGTGTGTATGATAAATGGCCTTCCCTGCGCCTGATCGAAAAATGCGCTTGTGTATTTGCTTCCAATAGCTGTGCCTTGCTTCAATTCAATTGACCATTTCCAGTTGGGTTGAATTTGAAGCTGCAGAACACACACCCTTTTTTGTTCTGATAGGAAAAACTTTCATGCATGTTTATGCAAAACTATGGCGATTATGTGCATTATAAATGAATCATATCAGCGATACGAAAGTAGATCCGCTGGAAGAATTTTTTGTTTCTTAACAAAAGTATAGCTTTAATCGTGGATATATTCTACGTAAGCCGGGAGCTGACCAAAGTCTGATCCGTAAGAAAAAGTGTTTTTTCTTCCGAATAAAAAACTGACAAGAACTTAGCTACGCTACTCGATATAATGTCCTATATATAGATTTCTGAATATTTTTTTTTCAAATCGGTTTAAGAGAAACTTGGATTTATCCGAAAGAGGCCTAAGGCTACATATATTTTGTATTGCATCGACATTTTTTAGCTTGATACCTTAAGCTACAGATTTTTCAGAAAGGTCTTTTTTTCCGAAATTTGAAAAAACAAACCGTTTTTTTTTTAATTTACCTGGGTAATGGAGTTTCTAACAAATTAATTATTTAAAGGTATATGAAATGATGAATTATTAAGCAAAGTTTATACATTCTTCCTGGAAGTTTGAAAACCAAAACAAAATAGGTAAATTCTTTATTTAGTGTTTGTATCGAAGCTAGACTTAAAGCAAATGAGATTTGGAAAGATGAGTTTCAATGGAAAGGCAATAAATATGTATGATTTCTTTGAAGAATACACCATCAAATTTTCATGTAATCTACTTGAAAGGCCGTATCACTTACAATTATAAAAAAGAGAAAAACGAGACTATTTGAGTAGGTATTTTTGAATCTAAATTTTTATTATATTCGCGTAGGTATATATTCCAAAATTATAACTCAAGTCAAGAAAATAATGCAACATCTTATTAAATTTTCCATTTCTATGCAACATATTTTGGGTAGCTTTCACTATTTCTAGCAGTATAGATAGCTCAATCAGTTGATATGATTGTTAATTTAATATAGGCTCTTGACGGCACATAGTCATATGATATGACTTGAGATATTGAGGTAGCGTGTTCCTGAAAGGGCATGATGAATTTTGTATATTGCGTGACACCTGTCAATACCTGCAAACTCCCTATAACTATATAGATTTTTTCTAATTTTTAAATGAAACGGTGAGCCATTTGTAGAATACAATAATACCTAGTATATGCTGTTTTGTTATGCAGTTTTTTTTTTTTATTATTTTTAAATTATTTAATTTGATGGTAAATTTTAGTGCACCGCAAAGTACTAAGATAAATTATTGAAACATGGCAGTCAACAAATAGAGGTTTCATACTTTATACTATTAGGTTAACACTTTCAAGACACTTACTGCTAGCAAGTAGGACGATTTTCATATGTTAACTAATTTCTCGATAAAACTCTATATAGTTTGAGTCAGAGGTCGGATAAAAATTGTTACAAGTCTCAGCGGCTTGTCGTATACTATAATATTATAAATAATGGACGCAAAAAATGATAACTTGGTAATGACTTACGTATATTGAGTCAGTAATAATATGATGGAGTTGCGTATCAATGATAGTTTGATCAAAGTGTAGCTAAAATTTCTCTTCAAATTCAGATTAAAAAACATATGCCTATCTATTATCATTTGGCCAATATTAATTCTAGAGGTTTACAAATTACTTATTTTTCTGGATCGGGTTCTGGTGGCGTAACTAAAACAGCGCACCGCCAACCGCAGCTGATCCAAACAAATACATTATTTGCAAACGCTAAGGGTTCATATTGTAAATGATAATAGATGGGATTTTTTTTTCAAATCTGTTTTTGTATGGAAACATTCACTCTTCAACTTCGATATACTTTTTAGGTACCTCTGTCATATCTTTAATCCACCAATATATTTGAGGAATTACCAAATTTCGAGTGAATTATTTATAAATTTACGATATCCGCCGAGCCGCTTGTAACAACAGGTAGTTTTTGAGATTTCTTTTTGCAGCAAAATTATTGCACACTTACAAAAAACCAATTCTAATAAGGAAATGTATTATTCGCCAAAATTGGTCTTTATTTCTAATAATAATTAGGTACCTATACATATTTCGAATTGAAGCTAATATACTATATATTCGCTAATATTAGGCCATCAACACCTTTAGTAAATTCCATTATGTTTAATTAGTTAAGGCATAATTTACATGCTCTCCCTTTCTGTATAGCTTGACCTGATTCTGAACTCGAATACTGGAGGCGACCTTTCCGACTTCATAACAAATGGAGAATGGTATCTTATTGGTAAGTAAGTTAATAATAATATTAATTTGTATGACGTTACTGATTCAAATAAATGTAGAGGTATCTTGAAACAGCAGAGAGACGACACAAAAATCTCGCACCTATCCCAATTATATAATGTTGCTTGTGATTTAGTCGAGTCTTTCACTTATACAGGATGTCTAGTTAGGGTTTGACACCCCACCTGTAACCTTTATCTTTACAGGTAGATGATAGGTATGAATACAAAAGATAATAAGCCTTTACTTCAAACCCCAATTACAAGAAATTCAAATAATCTGATGTGCAGATTCAGCTAAATTTTTAGAATCCATCGACAGAAACAAAAATTTTGCGTACTTTCAACTTTTTTCAAATGGAATGCCCTATATTACCATCAGAGAAACCAAGTGCCTCAAATTTTACCTGCAGCTGTCACCTTCACAGGCAGAATGGTCCACAAAATCAGATCAATAGGATAGTATTATTACAATTTTTAGAGCCAAATATGTTGGAGGCGGCTCAACTAAATATAGAGAAAGTATATATTTTTGGAATCGGGTTGTGCTCTTCAAGAATATAAAATCAAATATAGGCCATTATATTCAAAAAAAGTTGAAAGCGAGTAGGAGAAAGAAGAACAGCCACGAGGCCGTCCTTTTGGGTCCTGACCCTGGACAACAAGTTTTTCCACATAATATCAATGTCTACACAATAGACGACCACAACACGCTTCACATTATGAGGCTTATTAAAATAGTAACACCAAGTAGCGCCGTTTTTTCTCGGTGAAACGGGAGACGCATGATGACGTAATCTTTACGGTCAGTTGCTGATACGCAAAACGGTCCCTGCTCGGGCGCCAAATTTGTAATGGGTTTTCACAGGTTTTTCCTTGAGCTGTGGCAGCTGAATAGTCGGCATTTATCTTTTGGTTAATCTAGCGGTAATCTCGGGCGCTACCCTCAAGATTATAGTGGTTGAGGGCCCACTAGCATCAGGTAATCTTACAGTGGAGAAAGAAAAATCAGGGGTCAATGCGCAGATAAAGGAATAAAACAAATATCGAAGAATAATTTATGTATTTCTCATTGTGTAATAACAGAGGAAAAAAAAATGTAAACTCAAATATGTTTGATAAAACCTTAACCAAATTGTCCTTAATTTATAACAGCTCCTCATAGAGCAATAGTGTACGGGTGAAGAGAGAGTGGTCGTGTGTGCGGTCGTCAAGGTATTACGGTACGGATATTAGCGCAAAAGCGGAAAGCGGTAAATATATGGCCACGGTTAAAAACATGGCTTCTGTAAAAATAGGTATGAATACAAAAGATAATAAGCCTTTACTTCAAACCCCAATTACAAGAAATTCAAATAATCTGATGTGCAGATTCAGCTAAATTTTTAGAATCCATCGACAGAAACAAAAATTTTGCGTACTTTCAACTTTTTTCAAATGGAATGCCCTATATTACCATCAGAGAAACCAAGTGCCTCAAATTTTACCTGCAGCTGTCACCTTCACAGGCAGAATGGTCCACAAAATCAGATCAATAGGATAGTATTATCACAATTTTTAGAGCCAAATATGTTGGAGGCGGCTCAACTAAATATAGAGAAAGTATATATTTTTGGAATCGGGTTGTGCTCTTCAAGAATATGAAATCAAATATAGGCCATTATATTCGAAAAAAGTTGAAAGCGTGTAGGAGAAAGGAGAACAGCCACGAGGCCGTCCTTTTGGGTCCTGACCCTGGACAACAAGTTTTTCCACATTATACTCCAGTTATATTAGGCCGGAAAAAGCAGCATCTGCTGAAAAAATCCGAGTGAGCCTGAATTTTGTCTACACCTTTATTTTACCTCAAGAAATAATGTCTTGAAAGTCCCCATCAATATCGCGCTTGCGTTTTCAGATATTCAAGGTCAAAAGTCATGAACGTCATTTAATAACGATTGGTTGCCAAATGACATTTGCTTCATTGGTTATCTGCCAACTATAATCGACCGGTTAATCGCATTTAATCGATGTGAGTCAGTTCAAATCTAGTTGGCAAGAAGTCTAGACGTTTCGTTTTGTGATTTAATTACCCATCGCGATGGATGAATCTTGTTTTATTTGCAGTCAATTGCTCTCGAAAGGTGTTACAGTGACTGTAAAACGCGGTATAGATGCTTTGAGAGACGCAAGTGCGGAAAGAGAAGATGAACATACAGAACGTTTAAGGGATACAGATTCGGTAACAGTACATAAAAACTGTCGCAGAGTATACATAGTAACATCTAAAAATCCCCTCATTTTTCTCGACAGAAGTGTGGCGACTTGCTTACCCTGCACTTGGATCGCGTATTAGGTTGACAATACTTTGCGTGGGTCCCTTCACTATCGGGATCGCTTAAGGCGGCCAGTGCACGAGCCCCCCTAGTATTGTTGGTGCGAGCTGCTTACGAGCATGAAGAAAGAAAAAAGAGAGCCAACGATTAAATCCTCCGGGCACGAAATAAGTTTTTCGGAAAACCCAATTCGTCGTAAGGGAAACCCGCATCAATCCTCGAATTGGAGGTTGGTGCCTAAGAGAGTAGCATAGTGTCATCTTAAAGATGACGATGCTGCCGGTACATCTCAGTATTTTTCTGGCAAAACACGCTCTAGCTTAGAATCTTTTGATTTAAAAACTTTGTTTTTTTTTGTGGTGAAGAAGCCAACGAGGAAATAGAGCCAAAAAAAAACTAAGAAAAATCAATGTATAATTAGAAGTTTGGCAACGAGCGGAGAACAACGCAACTTCCTCTAACAAGACCAATCAAAAAATCAAAAAGTCATGGTGGCTTAGTTGGTTAGAGCGTATAGCACCGGCAATGCTGAGGACGCGGGTTCGAATCCCGCCCAGGACCAAAATGTTCAATCCTCCAATTTTCCTTAGCTTTCTTTTCATTTTCAATTTCCACGCTTTTCGGTTTTTGCAAGTGATATTTTGAGTAAAGCTTGGTATGAAAATGAGAAACCTGAACCGGCAAAAGAACGCCTTCGAATTGTACAAACTTTGACCAAAATTTTTAGAGAAGACATTCGTTTCATGACTGTTGTTTGTCAATCTTATCTCCTCCCAGTAGAATGTTTCATAATATTAACGAAAACATCTCACAGAGCCTTTCATACTTTATTGAAGAATTATTTCTGAAAAACAGAAAAGGCAAAACTGACCATCTTAAGTGTAAGTGTACCGCTATTTGTCATGCTATTATGGCTACGATACGTGCACGATCCTTCACATCTAACCTTTTCTAGATTTTTTGTCAACTCTTGGATTCAGCGCGTCGTATAGAGAAACATTAAGTTACTGCTGTCTACCATCCACAACCAGATATTCTATCATTTGAAACTGGTGCTCTTATTCAGTATTCAGCAGACAATGCAGATATCAATGTCTACACAATAGACGACCACAACACGCTTCACATTATGAGGCTTATTAAAATAGTAACACCAAGTAGCGCCGTTTTTTCTCGGTGAAACGGGGGACGCATGATGACGTAATCTTTCCGGTCAGTTGCTGATACGCAAAACGGTCCCTGCTCGGGCGCCAAATTTGTAATGGGTTTTCACAGGTTTTTCCTTGAGCTGTGGCAGCTGAATAGTCGGCATTTATCTTTTGGTTAATCTAGCGGTAATCTCGGGCGCTACCCTCAAGATTATAGTGGTTGAGAGCCCAGTAGCATCAGGTAATCTTACAGTGGAGAAAGAAAAATCAGGGGTCAATGCGCAGATAAAGGAATAAAACAAATATCGAAGAATAATTTATGTATTTCTCATTGTGTAATAACAGAGGAAAAAAAAATTTAAACTCAAATATGTTTGATAAAACCTTAACCAAATTGTCCTTAATTTATAACAGCTCCTCATAGAGCAATAGTGTACGGGTGAAGAGAGAGTGCGAGAGAGAGAGTGGTCGTGTGTGCGGTCGTCAAGGTATTACGGTACGGATATTAGCGCAAAAGCGGAAAGCGGTAAATATATGGCCACGGTTAAAAACATGGCTTCTGTAAAAATAGGTCAACTGTCACTTATCTCAGTATTGTTTCTGAATATGTAAGCAGTCATTTGGAGATTAGATCTCAGACGGATGTTGTGTATACTGATCTAGTGAAAGCCTTTGACAAGGTTAACCATGCTGTGCTTGTCAGAAAATTCGAATCCTTTGGTTGTGATTCAAATTTTATTTTATACTTGAAGTCTTTACTTGTCGGACAGATGTCAGTGTGTGAAGTTTAACAATGTCATATCAAATAGGTTTGTTGCTACCTCTGGTGTCCCTCAGGGCTCTATCATTGGTCCACTTCTGTTTGTCTTGTCAATGATATTGTCACGCTTAGGTTGTTTGTGGTCAGCGGTGCCACCACTCTATCTACACTTGGCTGCGTCGGCTAAGGGTTTATCCTGGAAAGAGGTTATATGGGGAAAGGAAAGATTTCACCACTAGTAGTTAATACATCTATTGTTACACCTCAATTTATGTAGGAGATGATTAAATAGGGTTTACCAAAAATAGATTGCAGTAAATGTTCTTCCCTGGTGGGCCATCATTTAACATTCCCTTGGAATGCCTATTTTTAGGGAAAGCCCTACGCTGTCAATAGTACCCAAACAGCCCTATGAAAATGTACCCGCGAGGAGCTTGGTTTCCATAGGTCTAGGTTTGGAGCGTTGAGTGGGGCTTCTACAGCATGACATTCACCTTAGGATCTCAGTCGTTCTGTAGCAAGTCACACCCAACTTAGGCCTGTACCCTCGAGGAGCTTAAGGCTGTGGAAACTAACCTCTTCCCGAGTGCATTGCGGTGCGCGTAATTTATACAAGAATTATTGCTACCGTCAGCAGAGTCAGTTAATTTTCTGTAGTACAAGCGCCAAATTCATTTCATTTTTATAGTCTGTGGACTTGTAGAAATTTATGAGTTGACAATATATCTAGATGTGTTGAATACTCACAATTTTTACTTTATGCAGATGATTTAAAAATT